TTCCTGGAGTGAAGACGGTGACCTTTGCAGTATAGGGGAAAGGGGTCCCTCTCTGGGGAGCAGCCCATGTGAGTTGGTGAGCCTTACGCCCCCTGCTACACAGAGACCCTGTGGGACTCTCTTGGCTTGAGGGGGGTTGGTGCTTGGTTCGTGCACTACCAGGGTCCTGCCCTTGCAAGGGTACCTTCCAGGGAACACTTCTTAGTTGGAAGTGATTGTCTGGCTGTAGCTCCAAGTCCTGCTTAGCTGATTTATGAAAGGCCAAATTAGTAGAAGAAAGGTAGTTTAGAGGTGTTAACCTCATACAGCATGAAAAGTAGATGGTGACCTGAAGAGATCTTCTATAGTAAGTACAGGCAGTAAATGTAAAATTTTATGGAGGCAGAAGAGGAGAGAAAGAAAGATATACTGCTATCTACTATATTCCAATCACATTCATCATTGCTTCTAATATTTTCTCACCAAGTAGAACTTGTATAGAGCCCAATGCATTCACAACTCATTTGAATTTCATATTTTCTTGTATAATGTATTCTTGATTGTTTTACTACAAAGTGTTGCGAATTGTCATCGAATGAAATTGGTGCTCTTGAAAGATGTAGCATGTTTATCCTGTGTTGCGATGTCCCACCCCCCCCACCCCCCAGTGGCACAGCTGCCTCGTGCCCCAGTCCATGATCTAAGAGGCACAAGCACGTTCATCCGCACAGCAACCTCATGAAAAAGACACTATCATTTTACAGGTGAGAAAATTAGGGTTCAAAAAGGGAACGAGCTTAATCTCACTGGTGCTGAATGGCAGTGTTAAATTTCTCCCCTAAACTCTTTCCTCGTGTGGATTTTGTGATTCTGTGAAACAGAAAAACTGACAATAGAAACAGAGTGCATATCTAAAAGTTAAGAAAGTTTTTGGTTCTGGTCCTAGCTAATTTATTGACTTTCAAAGAAATCCTTTGAAAGGTCCCTAATAGAAGTCTCGTCTTGCATTTCCACATATGCGGGTTGAGTTTAATTTCGACCTGAATGGTGGAAAAAGGGACATACAGATTTTTAAAAATCAGACACTTGGCATGCTTGAAGACTAGTTCTAAATAAAAACAGTTATTAATGGGATAATACCCTGGAGAACTCTCCTCAGTTGTAGTGCACTCTTCTGTGTATCGGGACATACTTGACTTTTCAACACAAAATCTTTGCCACCAATTATTAGTTTCCTCACTACATTGAAAACAAGCCATTTTAATTTGCTGCCTTATTCAAGCCCCTTCCCCGGCCCCCCCCCCCCCCCCCCATGCCTACCACCTCCATGAAGGTATAACTTGGCCACAATGTGTAATAACAGCCAAGATCTCAGATTTTGGTGTCAGCGAAATCCGGTTTTAAAGTCTGACTCCAAATTATTAGTGTAAATAGTGTAAATTAGTGTAAAGTGCTTTAGCCCTCTGTGCCTCAGTTTCCTTTTTCTCCTTTTTTCCCCCCCAAAGAGGGTAGTAATACCTACTTCATGGGATTTTTTTTTATAAATCTTCCGCTGAGTTGTCTATGGTGATTACAGTGGAATGTCATATTGTAATGCCCCAAAAGCTTGGGGCTGATGTTTGCCTTATAAATTCACTTTAAATTGAATAGATACATTCTTCAGCAAAGAGAATAAGTGTATATATTCATATACATTTGGTGAAATTTACTTAAATACTAATTAATTTCATAATTTATATGACCTATTTTTTTGATGATTGACACTGTAAATAACAAACCATCTTCTACTTTAGATTGATTTTGATGGAGGAAGGACACCGCACAACGGGCGGCATTTGGCTAATCCATTCTGTGAATTTGATAGTTTGAAGAGATTTATAGATAGTGAATTTCCATACTCTTGAAAATAATTTTACAGCTCTTGCGCTGCTTCTGGATTCATATTGTTGCCTTGTTTTAAAGCAGGACTTTCCCCAGACAGCGTATGTTAATATTTGGAAAATTCCCTATCAGTGGGCTAGCACCATCGTGACAGCCCTATGTTCTGCTTCTACCTTGCTAATTGTTTCCTTGGGATTATTTGGATTGTGTAGAAAGCTTTTTGCAAATCCTCTTATTACTGAAGTCATTGTTGCCAGCAGGAATAAGATTAAAGGTGCTTAAGTCTGTAGAGTTGTTTCTAATTTGTACGTGTCATTTCAGTGCCATTTTAACAGAACTCTGTCTCTTGTCTCTCCCTTCTCCCCCGGTACTATCTCAAGTTAGGTCCGAGGAGCCAGGCCATTGGAAGAAATCTCATTTTATCCTCCTAATTATTATGCTGGCACTCAGGAGATAATTTTTCCCTTCATGCACTGCCAATTAATATGCAAATGGGCTGATAAATATTTATGCAATGATTTAAATTATGCAGGGAGTGCTTTCAGTGTGTTCTGTAAATGAATTGTTCGTGGACTTCAAAGTGCTGGCTGCTGTGCTAACGAGGAGAGATTTGCATAAGGCCCTAATCACACGCATACTGATTAAGCTTCATTATGGAAACTGCCAGCTGCAATCTTTGTTTCTATTTTATTACAAAAAGGGGAACTTTTCATGCTTCAGTTGCCTTGACAATGTCAGTCCTAGCTGGTAGGAGAGACTAAAACTCCTCTGAGCAACTGAAGTTTCCTTATTCAGTTGAAGATTGCTATGGTGTAACTGAAGTTGTATTTTCCTTCTCCCCCTAATCCACTTTCCACCTCCCACCCTTGTTCTCTGAAGAACATAGTGTAGATTTGTTAGAAATAGTAGTACCTTCTTTCACCCACCCCAAACTGCTACCTGTTTCTTCCTTGCTTTGGACTGTCTGAACCTCTAGAAGATTTCACAGCAATGCTGGACTGCAGTGACTATGTTCTAGGTGGGTACCCGCACAGTTCTTTCTTATAAGCTTTAATATGGAAATAGCGCGTGTGGGGTTGACTATGCATAAATGCTTAATCGCATATGCAACCACCTCGGGGGGGGGGGGGGGGGGGGATTGAGCAGAGAAGGAGGAAAGCATTTGCAGGGCAGGAGCATACTTGAATTTGCAGTAGGTCCCTCCCTACCACTAGCTCTCCTGGTTCAGAGGACATTTTCTGTAAATAGTGTGGATTTGGAATTCGTCTTGAACGGAAGACATTTTTGCTTTTTGGAAATATCTGTTGGGAGCATTTCACGTAGTTCTAAAAACACCCTAACTCGGAAACAAGGTATAAAGTATGCCTAAATAATATGTACATATTAATAAAAAATGTTTTACAACCTAAGGGCGAATGTCTTCTAGAAAAACCAAAGTGCATAGTGAAAAATAAGGTGGAGCCATAGTGCAGAATGGCTCCCATAAATACTGATGCAGAGGGTAATTGCGGTGGTTGCTGCAGTGGGACTGTTGATCAGTTTCCAGATTTGAGAAACTGTCAACTTTTCAAATTTTGGCAAATATCAGCCTTTCCTTATTTTTTAAAAAATCAACTTCTCTTCTTCAGAAAACAATGTTAAGTGCTGGAAGGCCTATTTTAAAGTTTTCTCTATAGAACAACAAGCCTTTTAGGGAGGGGGATGTGCGGCTTGATTATATAAACTGTCTTTGGTAACCGAGATTTAAAATAGATTGAGGCACTTTGGTTTTGAGACACGCTGTGGCTCACGGTGGCCCTATTTTGTGTTGAGTTTTGTCTGTGTGCACACAGTTGTTGAAACCTCTTCGGGTCACTCTGGTCACCTGGAGAGTCAGATGACATGAACTCCGGGACTTTGATAACTCACGGTTTAAAATCTTTGCAAGTGATTTTTTTTTCCTCTATGTCATTTTTCTCACTTAAAAAACTCAGCCCCACCCCCACCCCCTGCCCATCTCCTTCACAGTTGTTAAGGATAAAATTAAATGATAGGTCTGTCAGTGTTTACACTTTCAGGCAGAAGGAATGGCCCAAACTCAAGGCAGTAGTAATATTTGTAAAGCACAATAAAAACCACAATTAAAACAAAAAACCGATGTCAAGGATTCAGTCCAATCCCAGAGCAGTTTGTAAACTGTTATTAGGCTCATGCACAGCTCAGTGTGCCCAGAGAGAAAAAAAACTTCAGATATCAAGAAAAGAACTTGTATTTACTCTTTTACAAAATCTGCTAAATTGGGAACTCAAGGAAGGAAAGGAAAATACCTTTTTGAAATATTTTTAGCATTCTATTTTAGAATTAGAAATTGTACCTCTGTTATTTGTAATTAACAGTAACTGTCATTTGAACAGTCTTCACATTGTTGTACAGCTAAGTCAGAATTTTATTTGTATATGTATGTGTATGTGTGAAGTGGTTTTGTTAAATGTCTTTGAAGCTCTTCACAATTCAATAGAAGATGCTTCGAAGATTCACACAGAATACCCGTGACATAATCTTTAATTTAGATACGTGGAAATTAGGGTATGAATTGCACAGGGACAGGTTCCTGACTTGTTAAGAATTATGCCTACTTCTTTGTACAAAGATACGTGGAAACATTGTTACCCTCTTCTGAATGTTAACTGGTTCATATTTTTCCACTTTTTTTTTTTAACATACATTCTAAAGGAAGCATTTTGGTTTGTTAACATTTGTTGTGATCTTTGCTGACTTTCATAAGATTTTGTTGAAGTCATTCAGAAAGCTGATTTTCACTAAGTTGTACACCTGTTCCTTTCAAACCCTAGTATGCCTTTGGTGACATTTAAATTTTTCTGGACAGTAGGGGTGAGGAAATTGTAGAACTAGTCTCATTTATGACCACAGAATATGAATTTGAATCCTTCACACATCAGAGGGAAAAACCAAAGATGTGCTAGAACTGCCTAAAACCAGAAGACCAGCATCTGTTTTAAAAACTTACTAGAAAAACTATTACACGGCTTCCAGGCTGGAGATGAAATTTATGGCAGGAGGACTCTTGGTTCTTTCTCGTCACTTACGCATTTGGATAAAGCAACCGTGGACAGCATGGTTGGGACTTGTGATGATTGTTTGATTTCCTAGTTAAACATTGAAATGGATGACAAAATGTACTTTTCAGTAAAAAAAAAAAATCAAATATCACATTATTTATTTATTCTCACCTAATAATTAGAGTTAAGTGATTCTTAGCCCAGTAGGGGAAAAGGGGGAACTTGCTGGATAGTAAACTCAGTTAATTACAAATATGCAAAGTTTGGGTTTACAGTAGAAATAGAATAAGGTATATATTAAATGTATATTTGGTTTTTACTCTATTGAAAAGGCGGGAGAAAAGCAGACTTGTTCTTGTGTCTTGCAGCTGTTCTGGGATACCTAATACTGCTTGCTGAAAACTTTCTACTGTGAAAACCTTCCTTAAAGAGATAACCCTTAGGGAAATAAACCCATGTCAGCAGGTTCATATGTGATATCAGATAGGTGGTATAATTTTTAGAGGGGTGTGGTTGTGATTCAATTTTGAAATCGTTAGATATATCTGTTACGCCTTGTGATACAGCTTCTTGTAGTGGTTTATGATTGAGGTATGAATTTGACATATTCTTACTTTAACACATGGTTAGTTTGGATGGGGAGTAAATACGGAGATATTTTTCTTAGACACCCTTTCCTTTTATTCTGCTAGGTTGAGTTACTGCCAGCCTGTTATGAAGATTACCAACAGATTGTTTTGGTTTGATTAACAAATACCTTTGCTTATGGAAAAAGAAAATTTTGAGAATAACGTGTTTTACTTTGTAAGGCACTTTGCCCCAGCTTTGTTTCTTTAACGTATTTTATGCTTCGTATTATATTTACTTCTTTTACACGTCAAATTCTATTATAACTTTTTTCAAGTTAGATGTCTGTTGTCTTTGTTAGAAGAATGTTAAAATTCTTTAGAAAGACAGTTTATTTGTGGATTGCATCAGGGTTAAGGGAAGTCCAGAATTTCTCTCAGATAAACTTTCACGATAATTTCCAATGTTTTAGTGATGACACTGCCTGTCTTTGAACTGTAGGACTGTAACATCAGTCAGTATTCTTAAACCCTTCCTTTGCCACACTTTTGCCTCCCTAACCACATCCCCAATTTTTAAAAAACCTCATTCACCTCTGATTCATTGCAGACTCAAGAATGAATAATCCGCCAGAAACCAGTAAACCGTCTATGGAGAGTGGAGATGGCAACACAGGTAAGAGACCCTCCCCACACCCACCTTTTAACTAGATCTAGTAGCGTTACCAGAAGAAACTTCCCACTTAACTGTGACTCCTATTTGGCAAATAAAAACCAATTTGAGTATTGAGTTGTCAAAGATCATTTAGTGCTTGCAGGAGCTGGTATTGTATTTGTTTAAGACTATTTAGTTTCTTCAGATTGCTTCATGTTTTTGTTGCTGTTTATCAGAGGAACTATAAAGCAGTTGAGAGAATAGTCCTTTAGGGTCAGGTGGTTCTTGGTATGAATTAGGGATTTGTCACTTACTAGCTTTGAAAATTTTTTTAATGCTTGTTTATTTTTGAGAGAGGGAGAGACAGGGTGTGAACAGGGGAGGGGCAGAGAGAGAGGGAGACACAGAATCCAAAGCAGGGTCCAGGCTCTGAGCTGTCAGCACAGAGCCCGACATGGGGCTCAAACTCGTCAACTGCAAGATCATGACCTGAGCCGGAGTCAGACGCTCAACCAACTGAGCCACCCAGGCACCCCCTGTCACTCATTAGCTTTGGACCTTAAGGCAGTTTCCTAACTTTATTTAGTGGGGACAATATATTTCATAGGTCGTTGTGAGTAGTAAAGGAAATGGATTAAGCACAGAGCCAGCTACACAGTAACCGTTCAGTAAAAAGTTGCTCTTGCTACAGGTGTTAATCAAAACAGTAAATCTTACCCACTCACCCCCATTCAGTAAAATTATATTGAAGTTATGCTAGTGTCAGTAGATAGATAGTTAAAAACACATACCTGTTTCTAATACGTTCTTTATTTGGTCATTTTAAAAAATTTATACTGTGCGGTAAATCCGTATAGAATGTCTCCACAGCCCAAACTCTTTATCACGTTGCTGAAAGGACGTTGACCCGTGTGTTTTTATCATCTGCCAGAGATGGCACAGGGACTTCCCCAGTTTCTGGTAAAGGCATAAATTGAAATACTCAGCCATGTAAAGAAGGGAATTGTGGGCAGGAATACACAGAAAGTAATAGTTCCTAAGGTAAACTAGGTTTTCACTTGCAGAGAGGGTTGCCTCCTTGACCACCATTTAAAAAACGACCTACTATGGGAGATAGTGAGAATGTGAGTCCCTCCTAGAAACTGTCTTTGTTTCCCACCCCTGCTGGCCCCACCATCGTTTAATTTGAAGTAGATGAGTTGAACCAGTATGTAGTTCCTGCCTACATATCTTTCATTGTAAATTGTTCTATACCTGGAGATACTTGTTAGTCTTCTAGTCTCTAAAGGATACCTGTCTCTTTATGTGAAACTGAGCCATGGGACTTCCTGTTATATTGAACACGTCATTCAAAATACTCTGAGGCTAGCCACGTGGACTGCTCTAGTACCTCCCGAGGAGGTACACCATTCTGTCTGGATTGTCGGCCAGTCTCATTTTTGCTGTTCCTCTGTCCTCTGGGCCCTGTCTTGCATTATTGTGTAGCACGGGTCCATCTGCGAGTGCTTACTCCATTTAGTTTAAGTGTGGGACTTGTCTGCATAGAAACAAGGCAGTCGATCCCTTAGGACATTAGGAGAGAGTGTGCAAGGCACTCTAAAGAACAGCTTCAAGAGCGCCTGGGTGACTCATTGGGTTAAGCATCTGACTCTTGATTTTGGCTCAGGTCATGATTCCAGGGTCGTGAGATCGAGCCCCACGTCGGGCTCTACACTGAGCATGGAGCCTGTTTACGAGTGTCTCTCTCTCTCTCTCTCGCTCTCTTTCTCTCCCTTTGTCCCTCCTCCACTCATGCTCTCTCTCTGTCTCAAAAAAAAGCAAAGAACAGCTCCAAAGAAGCATGTATTTCTCAACGAAGAGAAACAGACTCAGAATGATTGGAGAACACTGAAAAGGTCTCTACGTCAGATTCCTTGCGAAACCACCACTAATAATAGACGTTTCAGTAGCTACCATTTATTGAGCACCAACATTTAATAATCCCCTGATGACATGTTTTTAAAAATCTTAAGCACTGGACTTATTACCTGATTTCAATTTGAGTTCTTAATGACAACACTGTAAGTTAGGGAATAGGAAATTGAAGCACAAAATCAGTCAGGAAATAAAGGCAGGGTGAGGATTTACACCCTGTATTTGGTTTCTCCCATGAATTGCAATAAAATAAAACAGAAAATTTAAGCATTTCTTTGTATATATTCAGGATTAAAACTATTTTCAGAGCTATATGTAAGATAAATTCTAGCTGTAGCAATTACTAAAACAGTCTCATGAATTTCCTGCCTTGTATATTTGCAATGCATGGTGGGTAGACTCATAGAACTGAGTAGTATCAGTATAGAGTTTTACTTTTTAATGTCTCTAAAACTTGGCATTGTTGCCTTTGTAAAATTGCAAATTACTTCCATGTTAAGGACTTTTACATGCACTTAAAGATAACTAAAACCCCAAATGTCAATTTCTGAAATGTTAAGGGCCTATCACTACGTTCTTAGTATCTCCTACTGATGTCAGTTTGTTAGCTCAGGAATATAAAAATATATTTGAGTTCCAGTTTGCCTATTAAATTACCATGTTCACTATATTAGATACGGAATTATAATTTATTCAGACAATTACATGCTTACAAATTGAATTTTATTTAAAAGCAAAATAAACAGGGGTGCCTGGGTGGCTCAGTCGGTTAAGCGTCCGACTTTGGCTCAGGTCATGATCTCGCAGTCCGTGAGTTCGAGCCCCGCATCGGGCTCTGTGCTGACAGCTCAGAGCCTAGAGCCTGCTTCAGATTCTGTGTCTCCCTCTCTCTCTGCTCCTCACCTGCTCATGCTCTGTCTCCGTCTCAAAAATAAATAAACGTTAAAAAAAATTTTTTTTAAAGCAAACAGACCTGCAGATTGTTTCATTGTAAAGGGTGTATGCATTTTTAGTTTTTGCTAACTGAATAAAGTTTTCAGTCGAAAAAAACCACTGAAAATATAATAATAGCTAAATTAGCATTATAATAAATTATAATAAAACTAAAGTCTCACATTTTCTTGGATTTGGAATACTTTTTTCTTTTTAATGTTTATTTTTGAAAGAGCATGAGTGGGGGAGGGGCAGAGAGAGCGTGAGACACAGAATTCCAAGCAGGCTCCTGGCTCTGAGCTGTCAGCACAGAGCCCATTGCGGGGCTCGAAATCATGAACCATGACTATTTTTTTAAATTGAGGTCTAATTGACATATAACGTTACATTAGTTTCAGGTGTACAATATGATTCAATATTTGTATACACTGTGAAATGATGACCACATAAGTCTAATTTTGCCTGTCACCATGTAAAGTTACATAATACGCAATACAGTATTGTTGAATATAGTCGTTGTGCTGTAATTACATCCCCATGACTTACTATTTTCTGACCGGAAGTTTGTACCTCTTGACCCTCTGCTCCCTGTTCACCCACCACCCAGTCACCCTCCCCTTTAGCAACCACCAGTCTGTTCTCTGCATCTAGGAGGTTTGTTTTGTTTGTTTTCCTTTTTAGATTCCACCTATAAGTGAAATCATACGATATTTGTCATTCTCTGACTTACTTCACTTAGCATAATACCCTCCACGTCCATTCGTGTTAACACAAATGGCAAGACTTCATTCTTTGTTATGGCTGAAGAGTATTCCATTGTGTGAATATAACCACACTTTCTTTATCCATTCATCCACGGATGGACACTGGTTGTTTCCATATCTTAGCTATTGTGAATAGTGCTACAGTGAACATGAGCGTGCATATCTTTCTAATCTGTAGATTAGTTTGAGTAATATTAGCATTTTAACACTATTCTTCCAATTCATAAGCACAGAAGATCTTTCCATCTACTTGTGTCCTCTTCAGCGTCTTTCATCACCGTCTTGTGGTTTTCAGCGCATAGGTCTTTCATCTCCTTGGTTAAATTTACTTCTAGGTATTTTATTCTTTTTGATGCAGTTATAAATAGGATTATTTTCTTAATTTCTCTTTCTGATAGTTTGTTGTCAGTTATAAAGACAAAACAGATTTTTATATATTGATTTTTGTATTCTGCTACTTTACTGAATTCAGTTATTAGTTCTAACAGTTTTTGGAGGAGTCTTTAGGGTTTTCTAGATGTTAGAATCGTGTCATTCCCAGACAGTGACAGTTTTACTTCTTTGTGTCCAATTTGGATGCCTTTTATTTCTTTTTCTTGCCTAATTCCTCAGGCTAGGACTTCCAATACTGTTCCTCCAATTGAGGAAATTTGAGTAGGTTTATGGGCCAGCTGGAAGGAACCACAAGAGAGAAAGAGGCTGAAGACAGAAAAACAGTTGATGGGACTAAGGTAGGGGGAAGAGCTAGGCTCACAAGTACAGAGTGGAGGATACACTTTGACACTGGAAAGAGATGTGTCCCTTTTTCTGCAACTGGGGAGAAGATAGGATTGAAGAATGACAGAACATCGAGGTGGCAGGAAAAAGGAAAATGAAGAATAATTCAAATTCAAATTGCTTCATCCTTTTCATTTATCGTTAAAGTAGTTCAAGTGGGTATTTAAGAGAAAAGCAAGGATGGTAGTAAAAATACTGGCAGCAGTTAAAATGTGTTGAAATGTTACTAGGTATGCATGGCGCGTTGCTTTATTAGGTATGCTTTACATCACAATTGTTAAGATATTCCTATCAGGTAAGTAGTATGCCTGTTTTACAGATAAGGGAACTTAATTCAGAACTGTTCATTTATGATCATAAAGACCATGAGCCATTCATTCCTTTTCATTATCTTACACTGCCTCAAATTTGAGAG